TGGCGAGACTCTGTCAGAGCTGACCTCTCCACAACGAACATCAACCACGCGGAATGGTACGACCTCGCCCAGGAGCGTGGGAAATGGCGCAGTGCGTATTCCGCTCAACCAGTACCGCGATCGGCTCGGCTTGACACTTCTGTGCTCTGCGATGTCTGCCAGCGTACTTTCGCCCACCATAAATACAAGAATCGCCACAAGTGCCTGGCCGAGAGGAGGAAACCAATATCTGAGCAGTCCGGCAGCCGACTATGTAATGTAGATGGTTTTTGAGTGCTGGCGGGCTAGCTTCGCATAAGTGTCTCTCCTACTCGGCTGCTGAAGTGGCGTCGGTCTCGGCTGTGGCATCGGCAGACTCGGTCCGGAAACAGCGGGTTGCCCTGCCCTGTTGCAGAGCGCATTGTCTCGGCTGCGGTCGCTGCTGCAAATCATCCCGTGGTTTCGACCTGCATAGCTGTGCTAATTTCCTGTCCAGGAAGTAGGTAGGTACATTTTTATTTGAATTCGCAGAACCAAACGGGCGGTGTCGCCCAATTACATGGAAGCGAATGGAAACAGTAAAATGAAAAGAAGTAGAGCGGCGTTTCTGGATCCAACGCTGAACTCAGTGCTGTCGACCCCTGCATAGGGGTCCGGGACACGTGACCATTTGATGGCAGTGTTACCAAGGACCATGGTGTGTGCATGCATGTGTGTGTGTGTACGTGCGTGTGTGCGTGCATGCGTGTGTGTGTGTGCGTGCGCGTGGACTTTGCTGTGTGTCAGTGCTACAGTGCAGCAGACACGATAACTCTCATTCTTTTTTTTAACTTCCTGTAGATCGAATCTACGAGTAGATCTACTGAGTACGACCAAGAGGCCATAGAGTCAACTTCGCTAATACTAGTAATAGTAATAACGACTGCGGATATAACGATACTTCGCGAATAACGACAGAATTACCATGCCCAGAGCAAAGTCCCAGCTAGCTGTAATACATAATAATTATAGTGAGACTTCGGGTACTTATTCATAGCGAGACTTCGCGAATAAGGACACTTTTCTGATGCCCCTCCGAGTACATGTACGCCTGATTGTCGTCACTAGTTGACTGCATTTTGTGTCTTATAATAATGATCTTGGTACATCGGCTAGACTAGGGAGCCCCGTGTGTACATGGTGTAGGGCTCCCTGGGCTGATCATTCCGCGATCCGGGAAAGAAGAACAAACTCTTGTCATGACTGGTGACTGTACATGAAGTCATTGCTGCTCAATGAAATCCGATCAAGCGAGTCCATGCCACGCCGGGCGCTGTGCAGCCCTAGTACTATACTAGTCTGTGAGTAGGCCTTGACCTGCGAAACTGCTGTGTGAAGTGGTGCAAGGCGACTACCCGGTATTTTATTTTTACTTGCCTCAGCTCACGCGATCGGATTGCATTGAGCAACAATGATTGTGAATCTTGTTTTTGTTTTGTTATCTGTAACGTTTCGTTTGTGTCGCACACCGGCAGACACAACGATTGTTGTGTTGGCCGTCAACCGTCAGCAGAGTTTTACTACGCTCGTACTGTCTTGATTGTCATGTTAGCGTAATCCCTGCGGTAGGCTCTGCTAATAGTATTATTATTGGAACTTTGGGTCTCACTAAATCGCTGCCGCATTTTTTTGTAGTACTCAGTACTAGTAGCAATAGTAAGAGTTTCTTCTCAAGCAAGTGATTAGTTATTTTCAGTCGATGCGCGGAGCGGATGACACGCTGTTACTGTTTTTTAATACTGTAACATGTAGCAGGAGATATTGTTATTGGGTATCGATCCGTGAGCTGAGTTTCGAAGCTGGTCCGAACACGCTGTACAGCGGCGCGGTGTGATGAATCTTGAACTACTCTCTCTGCAGGCTGCCCAGGCAAATCAATTGCCGTTTTAGCTAATTCAGAGCAACATCCGCAGCAGAAACGTATTGCCCTTCCGAAGCAGTAGTGGCTAGAGTTGACTGACACTGAGTAGTGGGGAGCAATGGCGCTGGATCGTGTGCTGGTATCTAGGGTGTTGATATTCCTACTCTTAGCCGTGCAGGGAGCCATCCTGGACGCGTTCCTGATCCACAACCGCTCCGAGCTGAACTACGCGTGGATAGCGTGCGATCTCGTCGTGCTATTCGTGTGGGCCGTGCTGACCGTCGAGCCGCGGTTGCCGCAGCTCATCGTCTCCCGCTGTGTGTACGGGTGTTGCGCGGCGCGAGGGCGGAATGCGACCGACGGGCACCACCGCGAGCTGCGCACCATGTGGCTCTCGTGGCTCGTCTACTCGTGCGTGAGCCTGGGGCCGCGCGTCGGCGTGGCGTACTACACGGTGGCGCCGGACCTGAGCGTGGAGCCGTTCCTCGGCTCAAACCTGCTTAAGTTCAGCATCGCGCTGACGGCCGCTCTGTTCCTGTGTCTGATCTATGCACACGTGGGCGCCGAGCCGTACACCTACGAGAAGTTCTATCTGGAGCGCATGCAGACCGGCGTGGTGCTGGACATCTTCGACAGCGGCGAGTTCCTCGACATCTTCTTCACCGAGGAGCGCAGGGACGAGGGCGGCGAGGAGTTCGTCTTCACTCGCGCGCTGCAGATCGCCATCATCGTGTTCGGCGTGGTGAACCTGGTGGCTCCGTTCGTGGCGCTGGTCGAAGTGGAGCGTAAGCATCGGCCGGAGCACCGCTACAGCCTGGGAGCGCACCGCTGGTCCAACACCAAGCTCATCTACCTATACCTAAACACGTTTGTTGTCAACCTGCCATTCGCCATACTCCGCATCGTGCTGTGGGTGGGCCACGACAAGGAGGTGTCCGTGCTACTCGTCAAGAACATCATCTTCATCATCATGAACGTGATGGACATCAGCGAGTACTACGGCGAGGTCAAGCGCTGTCCGACGTGTCACGACTTCTACCCGCTCAGTCGTCTGCCCGAGCACAATTCCGCGTGTCGTGTGCGGCACAATAGCACGAGGTCGGCGGGCCAGCAACCGGTCGCCATGGGAAACGACGACGCGGTCGGCTTGGTGCAGCGCGCGGACACCACTGGTCGGCGCTCTAGCAGTGGTAGTGCTCTGTTACCGGTAACTGGTGACGGTCGTGCTGCTGCTGGTGGTGTAGCAACTGCTGGGGCAGCTCAGCATGGCGAAGTGTCCGTCTAGGCAAACCCGGCATGCCATCTGAAGCCGCTGACTCACTGCTTCCAGACACACTGCTCTTAAGCAATTGAGTGGAGCACTGTGAATGGCATCCACCGATTGCCCCCCCCCCCCCCCCCCCCCTCTCCGAGAATCCGATCATTTGCACTAATTGTTAGAGCCCTGCTGATCTCTTTTGGGGTACACGCACACACACGCACGTCACTCTGTAGCTTGGTCGCCGTTTTCTGGTAGGCTTGCAGACCAAAGTACAGCTTGTACATGTACACACGACTTTTGTCTACTGCACAGCGCTTGACTCGAGTAGCAAGCCAGGCAGCTCTCTGCCTTCCTTGTCAGAACATGGAAAGAGTTCCACGCCACTTCAGTCCAGTTTCCGCAGAGATACATATTTTTCACTACAGTATTTGGGTTTGAGAAAGACATCCAGTTTACCAGAGTACCTACTGTGTATTCAATATTCAGCTGCTAGCGTTGAGAGATGATTGTAGTGTTCCAATATCTTATTGACCACTTCCTGGCCATTTTTTGGGTGAGGCATTTTTGGCTAGATGCTTGCGACCCATGGCTTTCCGGTGCTGCAAATTTGGTTCCTTTCCATTTTTTTTTAATGAAGCCTCGGGTCATCAATTCAATCTGAAATGCGGATTATATTCTACCTCTTCACATGTCAATAAGAAAGCTTCCTGAAGGCTGTTCATGCCACTGTCAAGAGTCATTGCTTTGTCGTTGTGCTCTGAGTTTAGGCTGTCCTCAGCAGGGCTCGGGTGGCTGCACATCTTGGCGACGTAACGCGTTCGCGCGTGTAGCCGTGGGGCACACGCACGGTTGGGTGTGGTCTGGATCACGCTATCATTCATCTTTAAAATAATGAGTTCAGCTCGTGTGTTTTGAATTCAAACCAGAAGTTTGCTACATGTACTGTAAGACATGTATATATAACGAGGAAGCAAATCTAACGTTTTAACGGATGACATTTCTTCGTTATAATAAGATCCGTTGAGGCCGTACTGCTTCATATTATGCTGTGTGTGGATATGGCAGAATACTGCAAGATCGTTAACGTATCTTCTGGTTAACCTATGAATTTTGGACAATCGTTAAATTTGCGACTCGTTATAGTAACATGTCTTACAGTACTGTATTCACCCTGAGCATGGACCGAGGAGTTGCACGTTCAAGGCCCAAAAACTAAAATTTAATCAAAACTCAGTTTTGAGTCCCTGATTTTGGCCCAGATGGGGTTTGAAAAGCCCGGAGCTCAGTTTAAAAATCCAAATGCAATGTCACTGTCCGGAGATTGATCAAAGCAAGGCATCATCAAATTTGCGGAAAAAATGTTCTTTACATGGTGTAATGTCGCGGACTAATGACTCCATGATTCCACAACGCACTCCAAGTACACCACAAGGAAAAGACCACGTTCTCTTCAAGCATGCGCAATATGAATACAACTAGTGGGGGGGGGGGGGGAGTCATAATAAGATAACTATGGGTGATGGTCGTGCACCGCATGCATAGACATAACACATGGTGAACCATTGCTCTGACTCATGGGACTACAGTACATGCAGTCGGGAGTCGAGGACATGCCAGCCTTGAAGAACACATTTTTAACGGGCACACCAAAATCCTGAGCTATTTTTCAAATTGGGCACATGTAGTACTACTATAGGAGCAATAATAAAATAAAATAATATTATTATTGTTGCCATTTGTTGGGATGCATCGCTGATACATGATGTATAGGAGATAAATGAAAGTTACGCGGCCGGTTCCGAAGTGCACATTTTTGTTGACACAATTCTAGGTGCGGGTGTAAAAATGTGGGAAAGAAAACGAAAGCAGTGGAATTATGGATGAACGGCAAAGACGAAAATCGGTGTGCGAGGCCAGACCGGGAGATTGTGATCTTTTACCAGGGTTTCTTACTGACATCCCTGGCGTTGAGACCGACCGCCATACCCTCATGAATGTTTATCAACATGGTACAAACAGCTCAATCAGACCATGTTCAATAGATACACTAGCAGTACAAACACAAGCAGGAGATAGCTCTGTATAGCATCACTGGGTGTACACGTTCACTGGAAACCGGTACCAGCAGATCTCGCTGCCACTCCACCGGAATGCGATGAGTCCAACAGAATCCACCAGAGTGCACGTGCCCAAATCGGATTGCTCCAATGGAATCCGATGACGCCAAGCTGCTCTGTAGCCAGCACACTCCTTACTCTTCAGTGTCCACGACCACAGCAGTGCCAAGGCGCAGAGAGCTACCGGCGGAGACAATCGGGAGATTGTGCTCAATATGATAGTGGATCAAGTCAGGAACGCTGGCAAACACCTTGTCCTTTGTACGCACCTGTGAACGAACCGCCACACCAACAGAAAGAAAAAAAGAGAAGTTTGGTTGAATTTCGCTTTCTCTGCCTCCAGTTGGTTAGCATGAGGACACCCAAATCAGCAGCACGCTGCTGCAGGAAATCAGGTACTAACTTTCTATTCACATTATTCTGGGAATTTCAGGATCTCCAAGAAATGAAAAAAGTCACGATTCGCGCGAGACTCGACTAGAGGCCATGTTTTCTGCATCCGTAGGAACGCCACCACCCTTCAAGAAAGCAGGCCCAAAAAGAACAGTGCTATTAGACCAGCGGTCCAGCTCTGTGTTTGCGTACAGCTTGACTTCACTTACCGTTCCTTCGGGGTCGACGAGGAGCAGGTGCTTGATGACGCCGCCCTCCATGCCGGTGAGGACGAACTGTCCGGCCTGTGTGGTGCTCTCACGCACCAAGAACTCGCCGTCCTCCTCCAGAATGCCCTCGGCTTCCTCGCGCGGAATCTGCCCGTGGAACCAGTCCTGGGCCTGCAGGCTGTTGGGATCGGTCGGCGGCTGGGCCGGCAGCTGTTGAGCCATTTGTTCTACAATGCCGGCAGAGAGGGTGCACAAAGAAATTGTCAATTGGCAATACCGGTAAAAAAGCGACGTGAAGACAGTAATCTTAATAATGCAATGAATAAAACTCTATGCACACTCATATCACAACCATAGCAACGAACAAAGTATTCCAGAACGTTTTCTTGTCACAATTATCAATGGACTTCGTGACTAAAGGGAATGATGAAACTACCGGTACTCGTGTTAAGGTGCTGGCACAGAACGACAGTTGTACAACTTATAAATATGTTACAGTGCATTTCAAAACTATAGACGCGTAGGGTTTTTGAAATATTTCAAATTTGGCTGGAACTTTTTGAGAATAGTTTTCGGAATATTGCTCAGGATCGCTCCACAATTACTCTCATATAGTTTCTAAAGGATTGGATAACAGACGCCCAATTTGGAAAAATTTATGCACAAAGTGATCACAGATTTTATATGGTATAGATGCTGGCATAACGGTTTTTGCCTAGGTACGCGTCTATAGTTTTGAAATGGACTGTAGGAACTGAAGCAGGTAAAGTACTCCATTGCCTGAAGAGTGTTCAATGCCAGTGTAAAGTAGAGCTTTGCACACAGAGGAGAACGAAGCAGCTATATCGCAACTTGTTACCAGAGGATTGTGAATATGGTAAAATGCTGAGTTCCGTGGCTTCCTCTTCTCTACGGTGTAGTACAAATAACGAATTTAACGATGCCCGGTCCCCCCCCCCCCCCATTATATGGATTTTTCCAAAATAATGCCCCTCGATTTGGTGAAAAGTCCAAAACAGCCCCTCCTCCCTCCCTTCAACCCACACACATTCCAATATGAGTGTCACTCTCCACCCCTGCACACAAATTCCAATTGAATAGCTTCCCCTATCCCAGCCCAGTCCCAGGGTAAAAAAGTAATTTAAAGAGACGTACGCATGCCGAAGACGTTGGCGGGGGCGGTTGCCTTGGCGTTGTCGTAGACGGCGTCGTCGAAGCCACCCGGTTGCGCCACCTGTGTTTGTGCCGGTGGCAACACAGCCGCTTGCCGTGGTGCGTGATTGTCGTAGAGAGCCAGCGCCTCCTCCTTCTCCTTGGTGATGTGGTCGTCAAAGTCCACGTCCTTCTTGTCCGTGTTGTCGTACATGGCCGACGAAGATCCCATGTTGGCCAGCAGCTGACTGTGGTCATCCTGCAAAACGAAATTTTATAAAGAAGAAGGACCAAATGTTAGTGACCTACGGTCTGCCAAAATAACTAGATTATAATTATATATTATACAGTCAGCAAGTACGACATTTAGCACTTTCTCTACATATCCATGATTGCAGCATTGGCTCAATATACGAGTTCAATTTTATTCTCTAAACTTTTCCCTTTTTAACTCCCCAAAATTTATGAAATACTTTATCCTGCGGTTTTATTGTTAATCAAACTGGGAAGTTCTAGGGTGCACCATGACTAGCCATGACCCCCCCCCCCCCCTCACACACACACACACCATCATCACCACCCATCCCCCCCCCCACCCTCTCAATCACCACCCTTCCGCGCTCCACTGTCCTCAAGTTCTGTATAGGTTGTCAGAAAATGAATATCCCGGAGACGTTATGGTAGTCTGGCTGCATGGTTATCAGTACTCACGTCTGTGTCAGCTTCGAACAAGTACATACTGTCCATCTCTATGTATCACCCCCCCCCCCTCTCATTCTCCACTCCACATGTTCCTCTTTGTACATGTAGGTCTTCAGAAGGCTTGTACCCAAGGCAGTATGCATGCACTCCCCAGTAGTACATTGTGTACTGCATTTGCCTGCGAACCGAGAGGTCGGGGGTTCGAGCCCCGCAGTCGCACATCTGACTGCAAATCCCCACGATGCAGCTCACCAGATCAAGGTGTGGGTCCTCTTCACTCAGTAGAAACAGAGTCGAGCGAGCTGTATTCACGGTGCCGAAGGGCGGGCTCACCACCCCTGTATGGCAACTTCCCCATGTCTAACCCCCAATGCAAGACGAAGTGAATACTGTAGTAGTCATACTGGCCAAAGTAAAAATAAAATAAAAATATTCATTCCTGATGAGTGTTGTACGAAAACTTGCTTGAATCCTTATTTTCTCTACACCATTTCTTCACATTTTCATCGTTTTATTCCACATTGTCTCCACAGTTTTACATTGCATGAATAAAGTGTACTCAAATGTCAATTCAGCTTGTATTATTGATTGCGGTTATCAAATTGTTGTCTCCTCGCCGTTTGTTTATTTAAATAATAATAAATGCACTGTTCTGGCTGCATGTGCATCACAACTCACGTCTGCGTCGGGATTGAACAGGTTGGGGTTGTCGTAGTGCGCGGCCGTGTTGGTGAAGCCGACCACTGCCGCTCCCGCTGCCATGGCGTCAAAACCACCACCCACCGGACCGCCGGCACCCTGGCGCGGATTGTCGTACGGATTGGGCACGGCCTGGCCCATGGGCGGTCCGCTCATCGGGTTGTCGTAGGGATTGACGGGCGCCGCCTGCGAGTATGGGTTGACCGGCTGCGGCGGTGGCTTGCTGGCTACGGCTGCTCCCGCTACAGCCACCTGATACACAGCACAATAATGCAATAAAGGAAGGAACAACACGATATACGCTAGTTCCTCCGGCCACAACTCAATGGAAATTCTGCGCATAAAAAGATAAAAACAAGCTATCCCCTGTCAACGGACTGGGGTAGTGTCTTCTTAGCTGCGTAGCCTGGCGGCTTTTCGGGTGAAGTTACAGAATGCGACATTAGTTTGACCGCCTGCAAACTACTGCCAATGATGTAGCCATTTTATCCCCCCGTGTGCTCCCCAACGCATTCACGCTGCACAACTTTTCACGACTTTCACTTTAGCTCATACGTGTACATGTACATGTACATTAGGGCTGAAACGATCATTCAATAACTCCTAAAGATCAACCAATATCATTAACGATCGATATATTGGTTTTATTGATTATTGTTGGCTCTATCGAACACCAGTTTATGAAGAAATTCCATGATGCCTTTGCTACGTTAGAAATGGGTGGCACCGCATTGTTGACATCTGTCGATATCTCGATGGTTTTACCGACTTCTCCCAAGAAAGAACCGAAAAGGCAAAGCCTTCTCTCCCGATCTCTTTCAAAGACACAAATCAATTTTACTGCACTTGAAAGTACATAAATGACTGCACTCGTATCCACTTTCGGATGGAGTGCAAGGTCTAGAATACTGTCACTGATATGCATGCATTCAAAATCGTTAGCACTCGTTTTGTACACTAACGATTATCGATTGCACTCTTAACGATCGATATGCGAGTTATCGGTATATTTGTTTCAGCCCTAATGTACATCCTTCAAAGCGGTGAACCCCTTGATAGGCGACAAGCCTCTGGGTCATCCTAATAAAGATATTATTATTATTATTATTATTATTATTTGAAACTCGGATGTTAAGCCATAAATAAATGTAAAAGAGAAAAGGACATATGGATACGAGTTTAGAGTAACTCTGGTGTGCTGCTTTTCTGCTTCGAATTGTAGTTAGACCGCTTTGTCAAATATCGTACTGGTCTCGTCATCGTCCAGTGACAATCGACATTCTTTGTTCCGTTGGGACTGTAGCTTTTGCTCGTTTTCGTTGCGCTTGCCTTCCCCTCTTTGGTCTTTCCATAACCTTGAACCTTCCAAGTTGGAAGGCTGTCGGTTAGCGCTACGGAGATGCGTTAAAGTTAGGTGTCAGGACGTCGAATGTCTCAGTACTCTGTCAGTTTTGTGCCTAGTTATTGCACTTTCTGACTGTATATAGTATCATGTTACAGTGATGGAGAGTTACTCTAAACTCGTAACCATATGTCCTTTTCTCTTTTACATTATTATTATTGTTATTATTATAGCCAGCCCAGAATAGCATGTGACTAACTCTTCCTTCCATTCTGTATTTAACCGGGTATATAATTTGGAATGTCAAATTTGGACTTCAAGGAGAATTTCAAAGTATTAGGAAATCAGAGGCCACGAATTTTTTCTTTCTTTTATATCTGGCAGCCAGGCATAGTGGGATGGTCTAAGACCATGATTGAGAAACAGAGGGTACCAGGTTCAAGTCCTGCTTGGAAGCGGAAGGATTTTTTCCAGCCGTGCTGCGACCCACAGTTAATTGGGAACTCGTGGCCTGGCACGAGGGAAACATGGATGCAGTGAATGGGATTTCGGTCTTTGACCACTTTGTGGTGGGTCTGATCTACTCACCTCCCATCGTTTAGGAGCTGCATCTGCGCCTTGATCCAAGAGGGTGGTGGCGTTCCTGCGGATGCGGAAAACTGGGCCTTTGGCCGAGTCTCACGCGAACCGTGAATTTTTTTTTTTTTTTTTTTTTTTAATATCTGGCTTGCAAGTGTTGAGTTACGGAGAGAAAAGAGCAGTACGTGGCATGTGGCCTCTGATTTTCTTATATAATTCGGAGGTGAATGCATACAAAATAGTACGGTACAAAATTCTTTGCATTCAGCATTCCAGGTGCTTGAAATGACTTACAAGTTACAATACCCCTTCATTTGCATTTAGTTCGGTAAAAGACTTATACAGTGTCCAGCCATGATGAAAAGACAAATACAGACGGTGAAGAGAGATCAAGCTCTGCTGCAAATCAGAGTTCCACGCTCAATTCACGGATCATCAGGCAATGTGAATATCATCAACATCAGGCCATGAAAATAATAGCGAAACTCTGAGTTGAACGGACTCTCTCTCTCTCTCTCTTTCCCTCTCTCGCTCTCTCTCTCTCTCTCTCTCTCTCTCTCTCTCTCTTTCTTTCTTTCTCGCACTCTCTGTGTGTTGAAGGCCCTGCTCTGGGGGTGTAGAGTAGAATTTGAGCGGTGAAGCTTTCTAATTGGTTACTTTATGAAAACGAAAATAGAGAGATAGAAAAGATAGAGACTCAAAGGCACAGAGACACAGAGAGGAGAGAGAGAGAGAGAGAGAGAGGGGGGGGGGGGGGGCGGGGGATTACTTCAAGGTACATACCCGCTGTGCTTGGGCTTGGTGCGGTGCCTCCGAGTAGGCATGGTTCTCTTCGTCGAATCCATAGCCGAGCTGTCCACCAGCTGTACCAAACCTGTGAGAGGAGAGTAGAGAAAGAGAGTGAGACAGAAAAAGAGTGAGAGAGAATCGTAGCAAGCCTTGAAGGTACTGCATGCACGACAGTGGTAAAACCACCTAAAATCAGGAGCGCTGTTTTCCAGGAACAAACTTTGTCCTCCAGTGTTATTGCCTGTAGTGCCCGATGATACACATAGTGCAATCATCAGACATCACCTATAATTATTTTCTTTGTTCGGTACTGCATTAGTCCACAAAGGTCCAAGCAACCAACACACCCATGCTCCAGAGCATAAGATCCGTACTCAGCTAGAGTATTTCTTATCAGAGTATGTATGAAGTGAGATTCACTGGATCTTTTATAATGCGCAAACCATTGTCTAATCTACCAATTCCCACCAATCCCCACCAATTCCCACCACTGAATCCCCACAAATCCCCACCAGTCATGGCCACTTCCTTACTGGTTCTCGACCTGCATGGGCTGTGCCTTGGGCTGCTGTAGGAATCTCTTGTAGCGCAGCTCGAACGCCTGACCAATGGTGGTGATGACGTCGAACGCGAGATCACCGCAATCGAATGTGTGGCAAGCTGTGGCAGATGTACAACATGCACACGTGTGAGGAAAGTAGCACTGAGCCAATAAATCAATAAATCAATAAATCAAGCTCATCCGATCACTTTTCCCAACCCGGCAATCTTCCGGCACTCAACTGTGTTCTGGTTGCATAGTACAGTGAGACCTGTCTAAAACGACCGCTCAATGGACCTTCGAAGGGTGGTCTCTGTTACCAGGTGGTCTCCTTATCCAGGGTCATTTGACTGGAAATAGCATCCCTTAGTCCTGGTTGCAGTGATCTTCCAGGACAGGTGGTCGCCTTTTCCGAGTGGTCGTCGCTTGACATGTGTCAATGTTTACTGTATGTGTCTGCTGCCTCCCGCTGCAGCAAGGACATTTGACTGGAAATAGCGTCCTTGGTCCTGGTTGCAGTGGTTTTCTTGGACAGGTGGTCACCTTATCCGGATAGCCGCCTTGACAGGTTTTTACGGTAGGCATAATGTAAGGTTCAACTCGGATGGTGAGCCAATTAAATTATGGTGAAAAACGTGGACGTTGGTGGACAGTTAATCATAACTCGTAACACTGTGACTTTTTCACCATAATGTATTAAAGGGAGTGTGATTTAAAAGAAGCTTTGAACATCCACTTGCATCCACTTGCACTTGCATCCACTTGCTGGTGAGCTGATCTACTCACCTCCCACCGCTTTAGGAGCTGCATTGCGCCTTGATCCTTGAAGGGTGGTGGCGTTCCTACGGATGCGGAAAGCCCGGCTTCCAGCCGAGTCTCACGCGAACCGTGATTTTTTTGGAACATCCAGGTTACCAGTTACCTGCCATTGACTATACAATTATGTTTAGAAAACATGTATGATCCCGGCTCAGCTCACCTCGATCATAGATGGGATCCTTAGCCACGTATCCGATGAAGTCCACAAATTCCTGTCCAAGAAAACCAGCAGAAGGGTACATGTACATGTAGTTGACTGGGCATGTTGTAAATGCTGCTATCGAATACAATAACAGGAGGCTAGCAAACGGCACATAGGAGTCATGTTGCTCAGTGTGGGTGAGGTTTGGCTAGAAAGCAGATGCAGGTGGTGGAGGTGGAACTAACTCTTTCTTTTTTCTCCTCTTTTTCCTCTTTTTTTCTCTCTCTTTAATTTGCATTTTGCTCTCAGTCCGTGGTTGGTTTCTCCTCACTTCCTTGTATTGGCTATTTTCATTATGTGCCATGAAGTGCAGACAGTAAATAAAAAAGATAAAATATATACATGTATGAATAAACCCATTGGTGCTGTGGTAGTCAAATAGAAGATAGTGCATCCCCTTTGTTTGACTGTGGTAAGTATGTGCAGTTGTGTTGTACACATGTGTATGTGCATTGTACATGAGAGTGAGTGACTGTAGACAGGGTGTAATAGGTATCAATTACAGTGAAACCTGTCTAAGACGACCGCTCAAGGGACCTTCAAAATCCGGTCTCTGTTACCAGGTTGTCTCCTTATCCAGGGTAATTTGACTGGAAATAGCATCCCTTGGTCCTGGTTGGAGTGGTCTTCTGGGACAGGTGGTCTTCTGGGACAGGTGGTCTTCTGGGACAGGTGGTCTTCTGGGACAGGTGGTCTTCTGGGACAGGTGGTCTTCTGGGACAGGTGGTCTTCTGGGACAGGTGGTCTTCTGGGACAGGTGGTCTTCTGGGACAGGTGGTCTTCTGGGACAGGTGGTCTTCTGGGACAGGTGGTCTTCTGGGACAGGTGGTCTTCTGGGACAGGTGGTCTTCTGGGACAGGTGGTCTTCTGGGACAGGTGGTCGCCTTGACAGGTTTTACTGTAGTCGAATCCTGCTCCTGTTGTGTGATCCGCCTCAGTGTCCTCCAGTGCATTACACTCAAACGCCTCTTATCCGGACGCCTCAGATACGGGCACGTCTCTCTACCGGGCACCTTCAGCTTGAGTTCCTATAGCACAAAATGCTTCTAGCTTGGGGTTTTGAAATTTTCCGTACATGGAAGTGCTTATTTTTCATTGTCAACATATGTAATCCACACATTTTTATCAATGGGTTTCGTTTTGCATCCTGAACATGTGCAATACGTTCCAAATAAACTTCTTCAAAAATGATATGATACATGGTAGATGAGTTATCCTGAGATACGGGCAAATCTGAGATACGGGCAGTGCCCGGTCCCAAGGTGCCCGGATAACAGACGTCCGAGTGTACTTTTATGAAGATCATTTTTGGTTAGAGCATCGCTAGCTACATGCGAGGGTCCCTGGTTCGAGTCCTGGTGGTGACAGTCAATCTTTTCTTCAGATTCTCCCCGTTTGTGTCTTTCCCTCAAACTAGTGAAGATCATTTTGCAGAATAACACTGATAAGTGAGCTTACTCTCTCTCCGCCGGTAGCAAATGAGATTGAGGGCATCGCATGATGAGCCAGCACCTGCACACACAAAGCATCAACAGCAGACACAGTGTAGCATAATTTACTACTGCAAGTTGTGTATGTGCTGTTTGTGTTGTCGTGAACGCAGCGGAAAGTGGCACCTAAATGACTAGTTTAGTGATGCCTTGCCGCGGGGCCAGATGTCTCTCTCTCTCTCTCTCTCTCTCTCTCTCTCTCTCTCTCTCTCTCTCCCTCTCCCTCTCCCTCTCTCTCCCTCTCTCTCTATCTATCTCTCTATCTATCTCTCCCCTCTCTCTCTCTCTCTCTCTCTCTCTCTCTCTCTCTCTCTCTCTCTCTCTCTCTCTCTCTCTCTCTCTCTCTTCCCCCTCTCTCGCTTCCCCCCTCCCCTATCTCTCTCTCTCTCTCTCTCTCTCTCTCTCTCTCTCTCTCTCTCTCTCTCTCTCTCTCTCTCTCTCTCTCTCTCTCTCCCTCCCCTTCCCCCCCCCCCCCTCTCTCTCCCTCTACATAAGGTCATTAATGTAGTGCTGTTGTTCTGGAGTATTCCCAGCTTGTGGTGAATCTTGCATGACCTTTCATTGTACTCAGGTTTCATTTCTTTTATTCTAGTGCATGCTGCTGGCGCCTGATGTATTGACTATTGCTACCGCAGGCCAGTCTCAACCTTTGCATTGTCTGAGATTCAAGTAGCGTATCGTTTGATGCATGTGCTGTCTCCATGCTATCTAGTCGTAATATATTCACTCGTCTTTGCATTTGTGCACAGTCCTGTGGATACTCGCAGGCTGCGGTTGCGCTCTCGCTTTGGTCATTCTAGAATGTATACTTCCATGCCTTTGAAGTTTTTTAGTTGTCAGTTTTGAACTGTAGGAAGCAGTTTACAGTTTTGGTTCTTGCAGTTTTATCTCAGAGGAGAAAGTTCTTGGTCTCATACTGTTACGAGTTGCTGTTGTATCTGGTTGAACGCATGCCGGGGCAACAGAGGGCAGCATGAGTAGCCATAGTGGTCCTTCGAGCCGGATCTCAGAGCCAGATCCAAGAAGTCCTGCGCGACGACGAGCAAGTCCCAGGCGCTGAGTGTAGACGGAGCTCGCGGTCTACCAAAGGGAGACCGCCGAGCAGATACGGGTTTGATAACTGGGGTGACGTCCCGGACAGCGTGAGCTCTGCAGGACATGCGCCCTCGAAAGTTTCAGGAACTGCTGCGTCGCAGGCGTCACTTCGTGCAGAGATGCTTCGTGTAGAACTTGAGGCTGCAAGGCAAATCGCTGAGCTGGAGGAGGAAGCCGAGACACGCAAGTTGGCTCGTGAGACAAGTTTGGTGCAGAGGGAACTGGAGGTTCGAAGAGCCGAGGCTGAATCTGCAGCTGCACTACGATCCGGGTCAGGGAGCAAAGTGTCGTCTCGCAAATCAGAGACTGGAAACGCTGCATCCAGTGGCAGGGCAATATTGACTGCCAAGAGTCTTGCTGAGCACGACAAGTTGGCCGGACCTGGTCGAAAATTCGTATTACCACCGCGTGAGCACTTCAGAACGATGAGTGATGTCGGTGGAGTGAACGGACAACGCGACCACGGCAAGCCAAGGAGTTTGCAAGGTACGTTTCGTACTGTGAATGCGCCCACACAACCTGAGGCTGTATTAGGTGTGGCGGAAGACAGCCCAGCTCAGTCAAGTACATGTAGTGTCAATGCGTTTGGCGTGCCTGCCCTGGGGCCAGTGGCGCAAGCATTCATGCGCTCGCCCGCTCAAAAGTCTGTGACCAGCACAGTGCTGTCAGTAGTGCCAGCCAAGAAGTCAATGGCCAGTGGTGCGCCTGTAGGACGTACTACAGTGTCCATACGGGCAGCTAGTAATGCAGTGCCTGTACAGCCAGCAATAAGCAGTGCAGCAGTACAATCAAGACTGCCTGGCAGTAACAAGAAGGCAGTATCAATGCTGAATGCAACACCACCATGGCATACAGCAGTGGCCAAACAGCAGCCACCAACACCAGTGGCAGTGCAAAAACACTCCAAGCAGGTGCTAAACCCGCAAGCAGAGTCCTTCATGTCCTATCCACCTCAACTGCAGACACTACACCCTGCTAGTTTCAGCTTTCACGTGAAGCCACTGGAGCTACCAAAGTTCTCTGGCAAGACTAGTGACTACGACCGGTGGAAGCAGAACTTTCGCCGCGTTGTTGACGAAGATCCACTAACGACTGAAGCGTACAAACTTGCACAGCTGCGTGAGTGTCTCATGCATGGCACGGCCAGCGACCTTGTTGATGGCGTGCTTGACGGTCCAGGAGCCTACCACACCATCCTTAGGGAGCTAGATGCATGGTATGGCGGCGACAATCGCACTGTTGAGTGCCAAGAGAAGGAGATTTTGCAGTGGCCGAAGCTAAAAGAGTCAGACGACAACTTTGCCAAGTTTGTCCTCAGACTCCGGACGATGCTCATGAATATGGAGATGTGTGCAGTAACACCGGGCCGTGAGTTGTACCTATCGGTTACGCAGAAGTTGCCGAAATCGCTGTTGCTTAGGTACATGGAGAAGTATGACGATGCTGACTGTGATATTTACCAGCTAACACAGTGGCTCCTCAGACGCGTCAACACACTACGCCGTGCCGATGAACGACTCCGGTCGACAGAAGTCACTGCCTCAGCACCAGCACCAGCAAGATCATGGTCGAAGCAGAGTGCTACAAAGTCTGAACGAACATTTGTGGCAACTAGCAAGGATGCAGGTGCCGACAGAAGCTGCCCCTCGTGTGGCAAGGCGCATCAGCTCCACCGCTGCCCCGATTTCATTAAGATGGAGGTCAGGGACCGATGGAAAGTCATCAAGTCCAAGCCAGATGTCTGCGCCCTATGCTTCGGTCTCAATCATCGCGCAAAGACTTGTACCAGGCAACCCTGTTCAAAGTGCAGCCGCACGCATCATGACATGCTACACTACAACATCCGACGCTCGGATTCCGCTGCAGACCCATCAAATGCCGCAATCAAGGCCAACGCAGCTTCGGCCAGCAGTGGCGGTCCTGCCAAGATTGCTACAACATATTGCGCAAGTCATCAGCCAGAGATTGACAGTGGCGAGTCATTCATGGTTGTGCCTGTTGTATTCCGACACAATGGTGTGAGCCTCCAAGGTAATGCACTCCTGGACCCAGCATCGTCCACGAGTTATGTCCAGCAGTCCGTGGCAACAGCCCTCAATGTGCGTGGACCCAAGCGGCAGCTCGTCACTTCCGGAGTAGGCGGCAAGCAGACCGCAGCAAGACGTGAGCATGTACAGATCCAAGTGGCGGCTCTGGGCGACAAGACCATGAACAAGCTTGAAGCTTGGGTTCTGCCCACCGTCACCGTGCCATTACCGGCAGTGAACTGGAATCAGCACAAGAGCAGCTGGCCGCATCTCAGTGATATTGACTTCCCATCCATCAAGGGCAGTCAGATCGACGCGCTTATCGGCCTGAATGCCATCGAGCTTCATGCTACTCTAGAAGAACGGCGAGCAGAAACAGCAAGAGCGCCCATTGCTCGACGAACTCCTCTCGGGTGGGTGTGCATTGGTACAGGAGTCGACACCACTCGTGCAATCACAGCTACTACACCAGCTACTGACACAGTGCTAACTGATGGGCTGACCGAGCTAGTAGAGAAGTTCTGGCGAGATGAGTCGGCGGGCACAGATAACCCACTAGAGGAGACGCCTTCACCCGATGACAGAAGAGCCGAGGAGCTCACGAGCCAATCAATCAGCTGCAACGGCAACCGGGTAACTGTCCGAATCCCATGGGTCAATGACAGCGGTAAGCCACGTGTCAGGTCCAACAGAGCTCAGGCTGAGCAGCGGCTCCGCAGTCTACAACGCTCGCTACAGTCAAGGCCAGCCGTGAAGCAGCAGTACTCTGACGTTATGCAGAAACACATTGCCACGGGTTACGTGAGACGCGTGGACCCGGATGAGATAGCCAAAGACGGCAACGACCAGTGGTACCTACCCCATTTCCCGGTAGTACGCTCAGATAAATCCACGTCAAAAGTGAGAATAGTATTTGACGGTGCAGCCCGCTGGGATGGACACTCCATCAACGATGAGATGTTTACAGGTCCTGCACTTCAAAACGACATGACCAGTGTGTTGATCCGATTCTCACTGGAACCAGTTGCGCTTGTTGGTGATGTGTCGGAGATGTTCCTCCAAGTCAAACTGGCGGAACGTGACCAGCGCTATCATCGCTTTCTGTGGTATGATGACAATGGCCAAGTGCAGGTGTATCAGTTCACCCGTGTGCTCTTCGGCGCTAAGGCGTCACCGTATCTGGCAGGACGAGCGGTGAAAGAGGTCATCAAGCACCACGGTGATGAGTACGACTCTGACGTCGTGCAGTGCCTAAGCAAAGACCTCTACGTTGACGACATGCTGTCATCACTACCATCCACACAGCGTGCCATCCAGGCCAGAGAGCAAACGCAGCAGCTACTTGCCAAGGGCGGTTTTCACATGCGAAAATGGCTGTCGAACAAAGCTGAAGTGATGAACACCATACCAGAGGAAGATAGGTCACCTGATGTCGTCCGAGATGTGGACAGTGACACCAGCCTCCCAACTGTCAAGACTCTCGGCGTCAGTTGGAACGCCGAGAAGGATGCCTTCACCTTCCAGCATAAAATGAAGGACATCACGACATTCACCCGACGCTCTGTGTTGCGCGGCCTGGCCTCCATATTCGATCCGCGTGGCCTGATCTCGCCATACGTCATCACGGCTAAGGTACTCCTGCAGGATGCCTGGTTGCTGGGACAGGGATGGGACGACCTGCTGCCAAAGGAACAAGTCGTCAAGTGGCAGGGTTGGTTCCAAGGCCTCCCAGACCTGAGTAACCTGGAGATCAGCCGCTGTTTCAAGGATCCACAACAGCCATCCGAAGACGCCAGTCTTTCCGTGCACTGCTTCTCCGACGCCTCAGATCGGGCGATAGCAGCCGCTGTGTATGTCAGAGCCAGCTACCCAGACGGTACCACCCGAATAACGCTAGCGATGTCGAAAGCGAAGCCGGCACCAGTGAGGCGACAGACGATCCCGCAGCTTGAACTGAGAGCAGCTGTGCTTGGCGTTCGCGTTAGTCATCTCGTCGCTGAATCCATCGGTATCCCAGTGTCAGCTCACACATTTTGGACGGACTCGATGAACGTCTTGGGCTGGGTCCAAAGCCACAGCCGGCGCTACAAAGTGGACATTGGCAACCGAATCTCTGAGCTCCAGACCTCAACGAGAGCACACCAGTGGCGACATGTTCCCGGAAAGAACAACCCTGCAGACAAAGGTACTCGTGGTTTGTCTGCTGCATTACTGTGCCGTGACGCAGTGTGGTGGTCCGGTCCACAGTTTCTTCGCCAGCAGCCAGATGAGTGGCCTCAGATGAAGGAAGTCAGCACATCCTCGCTGCCTGGTCAGCTCAAGACGGCGCTAGTTGCAGTCGTCCCTCCACCCTCCGAGATCCTGGGTCGCTTTAGCACATGGTCGCGACTGGTACGCGTGACAGCATGGTGCAAGCGATTTGTGGCAAACTGTCGGCAGGCAGTCAGTGACAGCAAGTCCACGAAGGGGGATGCCGCATCGGACAGCCAGTCCAGCACGCCAGTGAGAGTGCCAGTACAGCTTGGCGGCACCCGCTCCATCAGTGTTCCAGTTCTCAGCACTGACGAAGTATCAGTAGCAGAGCGGCACTGGATTGCAACTGCCCAGAAGGATTGCCATGGTACAGCATACCATCGTCTACAGTCTAGGCAACCGATGTTGAAATCGGACCCTCTGGCACCTCTCTGTCCCCAGTTCGATAGTGCAACAGAGTCACCCCTGATGACGGTAGGAGGTCGATTGCAAGCTACAAAGAACATGCCAAGTGGCGTACGCCACCCAGTCATCCTACCAGCAAAGCACCGAGTAACCCAGCTGATAATCGAACAGGAAGATCATCGGTGCTTCCATGCAGTTGGGCCACAGCATCTTCTGGCCAATCTGCGACAACGCTACTGGATTGTTCACGGAACATCAACAGTCAAGGCCGTTCGAAGCAACTGCGTCACTTGCCGTAAGAACCGTGCGGAGCCAGCGTCCCAGATGATGTGCCAGATTCCAGACTTCCGAGTTGCAGGCTCGTTGAAACCGTTCAGCCGTACAGGAGTTGATTACGCGGGTCCCTTCCTGACCAAGCAGGGCCGAGGTAAGACGCAGGCTAAGCGGTACCTGTGCCTGTTCACTTGCCTTGAGACTCGTGCCTGTCACCTAGAGGTATCCTATGGCCTCTCCACTGAGTCATTCCTGTTAGCATTTGAGAGATTCACAAAGCGCCGTGGTGTCCCGCTTGAAATGGTCAGCGACAACGGGACCAACTTCACTGCCGCGGAGCAAGAACTCCGTGAGGCCGCCCGGGCCATGGACAAGGAGAAGATCGAGAAGCGACTGGTCAGTGATGGCGTGCGATGGCGCTTCAACCCACCTAGAGCACCACATTTCGGCGGCGTATTCGAATCCCTCATCAAGACGGCTAAGCGCGGACTCAAAGCAGTACTTGGGAAAGCGGACGTCACAGATGAAGAGTTAGTGACTGCCATGTGCCAGGTTGAGGACATGATGAACTCGCGCCCGCTGACAGTCGTAAGTGCCGATGCAGCTGATTTGCAGCCTCTAACACCAGCACATTTCCTCGTCGGACGACTCGACCCACCAATGGCTCTGGAAGTGAAAGCAGACGAGCACCCCAGCAGAGACCCACGCAAACGTTGGTTGTATGTTCAGCGGCTTGTAGCAGACGTGTGGAACAGGTGGCGAGATGAGTATGTTCCCTTGTTGAATGTCCGTCGTAAGTGGCAACGTCAAGGTCGCAATGTAGCCGTAGGTGACATCATGCTGTGTCTTACATCAAACACTCCCCGTGGAACATGGCCCATGGGTAGAGTCACAGCAGTGCATCCTGGTGCAGACAAGCTCGTCCGAGTAGTGGATATTAAGATCGGCGACAAGATCTACCGACGGTCTATCCACCATCTAGTACCTATTCTGGACACCGAGTAGTTTGTGCCTTGTGTATCTGAAGTGCTACAGGCAGCCCTGTGACAGTACTCTCTCTCTCTCTCTCTCTCTCTCTCTCTCTCAACCTATGAAGTTTTTCTTTCATCATACAGTACCGTAGTAGTACTCACTCGTCACAGTTTGTTTGCTGACCCTGTGCTCGTGAGTGAAGGGGGATATGTTCTGGAGTATTCCCAGCTTGTGGTGAATCTTGCATGACCTTTCATTGTACTCAGGTTTCATTTCTTTTATTCTAGTGCATGCTGCTGGCGCCTGATGTATTGACTATTGCTACCGCAGGCCAGTCTCAACCTTTGCATTGTCTGAGATTCAAGTAGCGTATCGTTTGATGCATGTGCTGTCTCCATGCTATCTAGTCGTAATATATTCACTCGTCTTTGCATTTGTGCACAGTCCTGTGGATACTCGCAGGCTGCGGTTGCGCTCTCGCTTTGGTCATTCTAGAATGTATACTTCCATGCCTTTGAAGTTTTTTAGTTGTCAGTTTTGAACTGTAGGAAGCAGTTTACAGTTTTGGTTCTTGCAGTTTTATCTCAGAGGAGAAAGTTCTTGGTCTCATACTGTTACGAGTTGCTGTTGTATCTGGTTGAACGCATGCCGGGGCAACAGAGGGCAGCATGAGTAGCCAGCTGTGATTAGTGCTATCATAGTGGTCAGTGTTAGGTTGTAGAGTATAGGCTATAGCATTAACGCCATCATACTATAGTGTAGAGTTTGGCACATTCCGTATTGTGTTATACGCCGAGTGTCGCATCATGCAGAATCAGAATACAGATCTTCTGGAACCAAGCAGTTGCTCTGGCACGCGTGGGCTACGGTACTACAATTACCAACTTCAATGTTATAGTTTTGGCGGCATACAAGACATTGAAGTGCCAATACTCGCAAATTCTGAATACACATGCTTCATAGAAACACTATCAACACAGTCATACTTCCAAGTACTACATGTAGTATTGTAGTATTGTAGTAGGATTTTTTCCCATGCATTTGGTATTGTGTTTTAATGCCTGATGTACAGTTGTGCTTGGTGAAATCCGACCTAAAGTGCATATTTGGCGCATTCAACTTGCACGGCCCCTGTTGTACTGAGGTGTTATAGATGTGGCTGGACGTACACATCTTCGTGTATAGTTGTGTAACCGGAACTGGTCCAGGGCGCCAGCTTTGCAATTTGGGTTGGATTTCAGTGAGCGCAACTGTACATGTGTGCATGCAGCTAACCTCGCCTGTGTCGACCACAGCCAGCTGCAGGCCCTCAATGCCGATCGTCAGGTTGATAGTGGTGCCAGCTCTGTTCACCACTGGCCGTCCACCCAAGATCTTGGTGACGTTCTTGGACACCTATGCAGATATAAAAATTAAATAAACATTCCAAGAACATGGATAAGTGATCATCTCAGTGACCGATTTTACAGCATGCATTATAATTGTATGCACTATGCAAGTTCTACTCTAAGTTCCTATTATAAGTGCTGGAAGTAGAGAGGCACAGTGTCTGCTCTAGGATTTCAAACCAATCGGGTACACGTGTACCTGGCACAACTCTTCCAACCGGGTGAGAGCCGGGTGAGAGCCGGGTGAGAGCCGGGTCAGAGCCGGGTGAGAGCCGGGTCCGTTCAAGTGCGGCTACTGCATCTACATTGTACATCAGGGTGCTGTACGTAATAGTACTCACTGGTGTGTATTCCCAACAGGGCCACAGGTGACCCAGTGTTCTTTTTCCAAACGGGTCCAAGTACCCTCCAAGCGGGTCGCTGACCCGGCTGACCCGGCACTGGAGCAGACGCTGACTCAGTGGTGCATGTAGTATATAGAGGTCATTACCATCTCAGTCCCCTTCCCATACCACTACACACATGCTAACAAAGCATGTGACCGTTGCCTAGGCTATGGCCAATAGCCGGCATTCCCGCCATGGGCATACTCCGCTTATCATGCCCAATTGATGTTACTCTTTGTGACATTCCCTGCATTCGGAAGGTCGATACGACTTGACCTTCTGGCTACGGACCTCAAATCATGCAATAGTTCAAGTGAAGTACACTCTGTGTTGGTCATACTGACTGCCGTTCCTCTTCAGCGCATCCCTCGGGCCTACAGCACTCGAGCTGCATCCCCTGGGAAGACTCAGCTATATGTACATGACTGTGTCATGGCATCCAGACCAGAGCATGCTTTAATTGCATACTGTGCATCTGTATGATTCGAATGAGCAGGGGATCCATGCAGTCGGCTGGGTGACCGGCATATACCAAACCTTCTGGACAAATTTAGTGCCACCATCAAGACTGCCGGAAGCAGTTTTTGATTGGTCCGGTAGTATTGTGGCCTTTCATACAGTTTGTGTATCGATATGGTGGGTACTAGTACACGTACACATGCTCTCCCCAGCAGAAAACATGCGTTGGTGGCCGAAAGGTTGGTCCGGTGATAACCTGACCAACCGGACCGGTTCCGACGGGTCTGTGAAGTATGATAATTATTATAGCTGGTGAACATAACCTCCTAAGCAGTAAACGTGCGCTGATGGCCAACAAGTTGGTCCGGTGGTGACCCGTGACCAACGGGACTGGTTCCGCGGGCAGGCCTGACCACCAAGGTGGGTTCTAGGTTTGGTGGGTAACCTTATATTTACAGCACGACGCGTGTTTGCCAGGACCTGTACCAAGCGCAATCCTGTATTGACCGGATAAATTCCCACGCACCAAAGTGCTGTGTATCGTTTCTCGAATGATGCGTCCCTGGATCAAGCGCAATCCTGTATTGACCGGATAAATTCCCACGCACCAAAGTGCTGTGTATCGTTTCTCGGATGATGCGTCCCTGGATCAAGCGCAATCCTGTATTGACCGGATAAATTCCCACGCACCAAAGTGCTGTGTATCGTTTCTCGAATGATGCGTCCCTGGATCAAGCGCAATCCTGTATTGACCGGATAAATTCCCACGCACCAAAGTGCTGTGTATCGTTTCTCGAATGATGCGTCCCCGGATCAAGCACAACTCTGTATGGACCAGACAATATGGCATTCACCAAAGTGCTGTGTATCGATTCTCGAGCATGCGTCTCTGGATCAAGCGCAACCCTGTCGTATCAGGATAGTTTCCGCTGCAGCAAGGGTGTCCGATTAGGGCAGGGTTTACTGTACATCGCATAACAGCAGTCCAGAATTGAATACAGGGACACCGCCGTCGTCGCCGAACACTCTCAGTCGCTCACCTTTCTCTTCTTCTGGCCGCGAACACCGGACGCCTCGATGGTACGTGTTATGGCTTCCCTGAGGCACACAAACACAACCATCAGACAGGCAAGCAAACATCTCGCTGTCATTCTGTGCCGTAAGCTCAATCGTGCCGCCACTCTGTGCGGATGTAACTTTCTCGATCACACCCCCACCACCACCAATCCTCCACCTTGCAGCAGCTCTGGGAAAGGAATTTCGTCATGGTGAATTTAACATATGGACTGTGTTCTCCCAAAGAAAATATTACGCTTTCCCAATCCGTCCAGAATGCCATCATGGACATGCAATCATGACTGTCGGTGTCAACTTCAGATGAGTATCAATGCACACATGCACATGCGCACACACAAACACACGTGCACGTACGCACGCACACACACACACACACACACCTCAGACCTCAGACCTGCCCATCGCGGAAGCGATGATAGCGAACAGCATGTTAGACATAGCAACTTGTGCTGGGATTGCACCATTCAACAGCTTGCAAGGCTGATAAATTGACCGCCACTATTTTTACACACACACACACACACACACACACACACATACACACACACACACACACACACACACACACACACACACACATGCTTTTTTCAGATGTGCCAAGAATGTGCTCACACATGTATGCACGTGCACAGGCGTCTTAACTTAAGACAGGCATGATAAATGACATGAAGTGATCGCGCTGAGCCTTGTCTAATGCTTACCGGGTCACCTGTGTGCGCTCCTCAAATCTCAGCGTCCTCATGGAGCGTAGGATCTGCATACATCCAATGTACTGCAGTGTAGACCAGCACATCAAATCACATACAAAGTTACAAACACAATGTTTATATTCATGCGTGCGTGCGTGAGCGCGCGCACACGCACACACACACACACACACACACACACACACACACACACACACACACACACACACACACACACACACACACACATGCACACACGCACATACCCACTGTGACACACACTCACACACGTCTATGTGCATAGATAATTCTAACTACATGTATTAGGCCGGGTCACACACATACTGCATAGTGGAGGCAAGCGCAAAGAAACAGACTGAAATGTCCCAGGTGTTTACTAGTTTACTACCCTCTACTAAACTGAGTATTGTGACACTTCTTCAACTGGTAGCTCAGTGCAGCAACGACCACACACTCTGACTGCAAATGTAGCAGCTGCTGGGTGCCTCCACGGAGTAGCACCATTGCGGCCTTCCTCTCACTCTACAGGGTGTAATGGGTTGGTGGATTCCATGACCACATAGTCCAACAAGCGCTTCAACCGTCCTGAGCACAGCCGGCCCTCGGCTGTACAATCATTGCGTCTTGATCGTCTAACTGCCGGTACAATCATCGCTTCGAACACTAGCTACAAGTACACGACGTTTTGTTCTGAAGTCAGCAATTAGCATAGAATAGATGCGAGTAGCCAATCTCAAGCCGAGGTGGGACCGTGCCATTCCGCTGCGCTAGCTGGCTTTGAAACACGGTCGTAGCCTCAGCTAGCTGACGTTAGTCGCTTAGTTTCATCAAACCATTTACTGCTGCATTGCATTATAGCCATAATATAGGTGGTCGCGATTCAAACTGCAACGAATATTTTTTCGGAACACCGGACGCAAACAAACCACCGAGCGTAAACAAGGAGCAGAGCACATGTACTCGAGGAGCTGCCCCAGACTGCCAGCATCTGATTCACAACAGTTTCTGGGACTTAGGGAGAAAATCTAGCTCATAATCACTTGCCAAAACAAAAGCAAAAGGCATACTCAACCGTGCATAGATCTACGCTTGTTGTGGGTACTTACCCGAACGCAATAGCAGACTCCGCCACCGTCCGTAATGGCTCGGTCCGGATGCAGCCAGCCGCGATCCGGCTTCTTGATCATCGTACCCGTCTGCGACCATTCTTTTCCCTTCTTCATCTTGTCCGTACGCGGCCGAGCCGGGAGGAGTCGAGTCCTCGTCGATCGATCGCCACCGCCTCAAGCTAGGCTCGAGTGTCTGCGAGCGCTGAACGCGTGCCTTCGCACGTCTGCTCTCAAGAGCTCAGACAAGACTGAAGAGGGATCGTCTGTGTCTGCGACGCGATAGGGCTTCACTCTGGTGCTCAAACGGCCTCACTAGGTCGGGATATGTTGGTCGGGATATGTTACACGGCACTACAGTACTCTAGCTCGCTCCTGTACCTTGATTCTCAGCCGCTGGTGTTCTTATGTTAGATCCGAGACCGACGGAGGACGTCTTACAAAAAGATCACTCTTGCACGCACAGTCTGTCAGTGCAGCACACTCGAGAACAAGCTAGCTACAGACGGACGTTGACGTCCTCGTTCACCGCCTCTCTAGTCTCTACTGACAAACCTACAACTGTACTCTGTAGACAGATTACCATCCGTGCCCGGTATCCCGAACACTCTAGTCCATGTTCTTGTCAAGAACCTCACGGCCGCGGCCCGCCTCGTCCCGGTCAGCCCGGACTGGTCATGTAACCATGCTGATGTCTAGTCTACATTGTACGTCTGCTCCGTAGTCGTAGATCTGAGGTCCCGGCGACGACGCCCGTGCAAGGACAAGTACAAGACTAGTCTTCACTGACATCTGTACGTCTGCTCAAGTAACTGCATGCCGTTGTACATGTAGTTGTAGCATTCATTCAAGCCTTTGCCGGCTTTGGCCCAAGTAGCCATGCAGGTCGTGTGATAGTGTCAGCAAGAGTACATTGTTATGTACTCTTGGTGTCAGTGATATCAATACACGGGTCGGGCACACCATGGCATGGATTGGTACACCAGTGTCAGCGATCCTGAAGACCTAACTGCACATGCTGGCCATTGTTGCTAATATCACATGATATTAGCAACAATGGCCAGCCGAAAAATTAACCGAAATTGGCGAAAATCATTCAATGCTATGAAAACGTACCGCTATAAGTAAGGGTATCGGAGCACTCAGAATGAAGACCATACATAGTACATAGTACACGATACGTTTCGTCTTGCATGATGTACAAAAAGGCCTCCTTTACGGGCAAACAGAATACAATTGACAGTGGCATGGCGAATGATTAAAACACAACACCAAAAAATGAAAACAATTTTGTATGTGTAAACGGTACCATTAATTTTGGTAGAGGAAAGATCCAAGATGTACATGATGTTCAGTTATAATGGTCATGTACATTGTACATCTCTTTGGAAAGATACTGCACTGCTGGCACGGAGAAAATACACTTTACTGGTTACACTGCGTACTGCGAGTCACTCAACCCCGGACCTACGTAAATACAACAAATGGTGGTGATTCTTGAATAGCTTGCAGGCAACCTGCCTACACTCAAGAGAGCACTGTATTTCACACAAATCCATTAGAGTTATCGTTTCAACGTTTCGGTCTTCATGACCATCATCAGGAAACGATACCTCTAATGGATTTGTGTGAAATGCAGTGCTCTCTTGAGTGTAGGCAGGTTGCCAGCAAGCTATTCAAGTATAATGAAGCTGCGTGAAGCGTCCTTCAAAATTTTGAGGTGGTGACTCTATTACTATTATATTTAGGCAGGGTGGAGCCTAAAGCTCAGGGTGAGCGTGGATCCAGGAAATAGGTGCGAACACACCGGTAAATTGCCAAACCTTTCGCCGATTTTCGAACTCGTCGCTTATTACTTCGAAGTACATAAACCTTTGTTCTACACTGATGTACATGTATGTGCAGAGGCTCCATTTTAACAATCTCCCTGTTCACCACCACGGTCTTGCAATGCAATCGTCGAAAATATCTCCCCAAATGTTCGCCCTTGGCGGCTTCATTACAGAGTAAGTATAGTCAGTGAAAAGGCCTCTTTTACGGGCAAAGCGAAGCACAATCATCACCATGTATCAAAACAGTCATGTCCAGTCTGTATCGGCTATAGAGTGACCGGATATAAGAATATATCGGCTACAGTGATATTGGTACGAAATATCAAAAGAAAAACGTATTTTATCCAGTAAAAATATCACTACATGTATAACCAATATTATCGGATGTAATTCGTTGTTGCCATCTTCCATAGGTCCGTCAAATAGTTGTAATAGGTTTTTCATTTGACCCGACGCGACCATACGACGCTTGCAGACAACAGCACGAACAGTTCACCAGCCACACTCCACGAAAGCAAGTACTTGTAGTATTACTCCTGACAAGTCATGTTTCAAGAAGGGCTGAGTCATGTTTCGTTCTCTAAAGATGACGGGGAACTCATCAGAGGAGAAGCAGGTGTTGAATGATGGAGTTAAGCTGAATAATGTTATTTTATAGAGAAGATACCAGCGCAAGGTGTAAACACTCAACTACCTCACATATGAGACAAATCAACACAAAAAGAAATAGTACAGAATGGAGGTGTTATGAACCCTACCAGACATAACTATCACAAGTGCTAAATCGATCACAATGAGAAGGATTGGTACACAGGCATAGGTTGCGCTAGAGAGAGAGAGAGAGAGAGAGAGAGAGAGAGAGAGAGAGAGAGAGAGAGAGAGAGAGAGAGAGAGAGAGAGAGAGAGAGAGAGAGAGAGAGAGAGAGAGAGAGAGAGAGAGAGAGAGAGAGAGAGAGAGAGAGAGAGAGAGAGAGAGAGAGAGAGAGAGAGAGAGAGAGAGAGAGAGAGAGAGAGAGAGAGAGAGAGAGAGAGAGAGAGAGAGAGAGAGAGAGAGAGAGAGAGAGAGAGAGAGAGAGAGAGCTAGGGAGTCGGACAGAGCCAGGGCCAGAGGGACAGAAAGGCGGAGATACGGCCGCGGGGAGAAGGTGGGAGGGATCCTGGGGAGGGGGAGGAGGATGTGGCGGTATCCTCGGACTATACTACCCTGTCTACAGTATGCGGTGGACATACAGATAAAAAATATATAATTAATTTTAAAATAATTTGCTAAAATCTAGCCTGTGAATGATCCAGCGCCCCACTAACCATGCTAACAGTAGCACCACCACAACTAATGACTTGGCACAAGCCCCTCCCGGCTCTTATGAGTCGATCTACACTACTAGCTACTGTAGCACTGTAGCACTGTCTACACCAAGCCCAAGGTCAAGGGCCTACTTGTACTTGTAATTGTATGTAGGCTAGGGCAAGCGCGAGGAGGTAATAATAATAATTAATAATTATTATTATGCATTTAGAAAAGCGATCCTGGTGGTAATACTAATACAGTAAAACCTGTCAAGGCGACCACTCGGATAAGGCGACCACCTGTCCTAGAAGACCACTGCAATCAGGACCAAGGGATGCTATTTCCAGTCAAATGACCCTGGATAAGGAGACCACCTGGTAACAGAGACCAGGTTTTGAAGGTCCCTTGAGCGGTCGTCTTACAAAAGACGAATACAGGTTAGGGACCATCGCAAAAGTTCGCAGAAGCCCCCGAAACGAAGACCGTTAGTTTCGGGCCTGACCCCCCTCCCTCCCCCCTCAAACGAAACGACAGTCACAATATGGGCTTCATTATTTCACTTGGATGCTCACACATAATATACTACACAAGCATTGTTGTATCAGTGTGTAACAATGTACAGCACTTTATAAATGCAACGATGATATCACCTTGCAGTGGGTGATCTAAGAACGAGAACAGCTAGAGCTATGCAGTTGTATCCTTTGAGCATGCTAATCTACATCAGCTCCTACAGTGGTGGTCAAAAGTTTTGACCCACCATGCAGATTTTTCGAATTCTGAAGGTTTGGGCTGTAAGCTACTAAATTTTTGGTCGAGGACCTCTGAATCAGGCAGAATAGTGAAATAGAAAAGAAAAATGCTGAAACACGGAGTCATCTGGGGACTACTGTGGTCAAGTATATGTAAAAGGTGGGTCAAAACTTATGGCCAACGCCCGCACTATCATAAACCGCCCACAGGATACACGGAATAGTGTGATTTCTAAAAAGTATTCAACTAAGCTAAAGTCTAGAAGTCAGTCCCGGCCTTTTCCAGATACATCCACCACTTTGTAACTCCTCCCTTGGCCTTGATGATCGCTTGCATACGCTGCCGCATTGACTCGACGATCTTCTTGCGCTCGTGAGGGGAAATCAACTTCTATACCTCCTGGCACACTCGCCACAGCTCATACTGGTTTCTGGGGGTTATTTCGACATCGTGCTGCTTCAGCCCAGCAATTTTGCAGAGATTCTCAGTTGGATTGAGGTCAGGTGGCTGCAGGGGCCATGTCAGGACGGTGATGCCGTTCACCGTCTGCCGCGCCTCCGTTCTGTTTGCGGAGCGTTTGCGGCCATAAGACACCACCCACACCACCCACAAGCTGCATCATGCTCAGCAACATCATGTTTTCGGAGGATGCGAGGTACTGGTCCGCATTCATCGTATCCATCACCCGGCAAATGCGCGCTACGCCGTTGCTGGCCATGGCTCCCATACATTGATATTGCTGTCGCGGCGCTTCACAGTTTTGCGTGTGCATGTGCCAGCCAGAGCCTATCCTGTCCACCTCCTGACGTAAACTGCATCACCAGAGCCCTTGAGGTTGATTTTAGACTCATCAGTCCACAGAAATTACCACCAGTCATCACTGCTCCAGTCCTTGTGCGTCTATACAAATTTAAGGCGTTTTGCCTTATTCACAGCACTGATGAAGGGCCATTTGATGGCCATATAGCCACGTAGGCCTGCTCTCTGCAACCTGCGTCTCACAGAACGCACAGAAATCGCGTTCTCACCGTCGCTCACCATCTCAGCTCGCAGGCAGTGACGGATTTGAGGCGATTCGCCATTGATTTCATGATATGGTGGCGATCTTGTCTTGCACTGGTCTCTCTTGGTCGGTCTGATCGTGGTGAAATGTAGTCAATTTTTGTTTCCTGACAATTCTACGTATCGTAGGATCACTCAAATCCAACAGAGGAGCGATACCACGCCAAAAGAGACCGTCAACACTCAGCTTCACGACCATTTCCCTCACATCCTTGCTAATCTGACCTCGGTTCACTATCCTGGCTGAAAATACCATCTCCATCGTCAAAATTGTCAAGTTTGATATCGCAAACTCTCAAAGTGAGCAGTCAAGTGTTGATTTTCAACTTTCCCGGCACGTGCATCAGCCTGACAACTTTTTTGAAACCGTACGGTACGGTAGAGCAAAATTTGGTCACGTGGCCATAAGTTTTGACCCACCCAAATGTATTGTGATCCATCACAAATCTCAGTTGACAACGGATTCTTGCAAATTTTAGTGTCCTTGCCAAGTTTCAGTCGGCTTTGGCCTCAAAGAAGTCAAAAACGACGTGTTTAGGAGCCAGGCTGAGCTGTACTGACGATTCCATGGGGTGGGTCAAAACTTTTGGCCACCACTGTACATGTCGTCAATACTTTTTTGAATTGAAGCCCGGTTTGCGATTTTCGACACCGACTCCCTCCCCCCCCAAACGTATGCTCTTCGTTTCAGGGGCTTCTGCGAACTTTTGCGATGGTCCCTTTATACTTATGACTCAATATGAGGTAGACAGGTTTCACTGTACTGAACTAGTAATACTGCGCTAGCGCTAGATAGCGCTAGAACAGTTATCTGCGCTAGCGCGCTAGATAGCGCTAGAACAGTTACTGCGCACGCGGCATAATGCGTGTTCGGCGTGCTTGGCCACGTGGCCGAATGCATAGATTCGGCCACACAGCTGCAGTACTTGTACTTGTAGATCGCGCGCGTAGATCTACAGGCGAACACTGCATGCGCATATGCGTCAAGTGCATATGCGCTATACTAGCGCGCGCTACCTTCTTTCTTTCCTTGAACAATAAAAATCCCGTGACGCAAAAAGAAAGCATTGAATATTTTTTCACTCTGCCCATGCAGAAAAATTATCGTACGGATTTTTTCAGTCGATCCAACAACAGTTTGGAAAGTCTCATAGAGAAAGGGCTGCTTTTTGTTCTCTTCAGGCAGCCCAGTGTAACCCACCATGAGTGGCGTTCCTTATGAGACGGCGTCTCAGACGCTGACTTTTCTGGATACGGACGATGTTGGCCACGCGGACTACGGGCCTGACACTCAGGCGTCGCAGTATGATTACAATTTTACTTTGCCAAGTCAGACACAAACGCAGCAGTCACAAACGGACAGCCACGTCCAGTCCAATGCTGGCATTGTGCCTAGTAGCTCGAGCGGCGGCAGGCAGCAGGCGTCGGATGGTGGTGCTGGAGGCCACACAGGGAAGACGAACGAGCTGTCCTCCGCCATGCAGGAGCTAAATTTCGAGGAAACGTACGACGAGGAGGACACCACGTACACGAAGGATCTACCCAAGCATGCTTGCAGGTAGGCCGGTGCTGGAACTGAAGTAGAAATGATATAACTTGTAGTACATGTTCATCCGTATTGTACTGAAAGATTGAAGCGTGCTCCCAGTTGTGTGTCGAGTACTAGTAGTTGGAAAAAGAAAAAAATGCCAGTGGTACTGTTCTGAGGATTACGTTCACAACTAACATTCTTGCAGATGCACACAGTGTATTACACACAATGCGTAGTAAATTTGTTTCTCTTGACTACACGTATATAAGTGTACTGTAAAAGCCATTATTCTAACGAGGCGTATATACAGTCGTCCCTCTCTAATCCGGCACCTTTTGGAACGGCATTTTCTGCTGGATAAACAAGGGTGCTGGATTATCAAATCCTGTCCTCCAACCCGGACCACCTACTAACATACATGTTTGTGTCGTACATCAAAACGCAGGGATTTTCCGTGTCAATCCAAGTACTTTGAGAAATGCATGTCTATACATCGCATAATGATAATCCCAAGTGTATGTTACATGTGTAGAATGCTCCCTTATAAGTAGTTCATGCACTGACCAAACCGACATAGCTGTGATCCGGTACGGTATGCGATGTGCAACTGCTGGATTAGAAAATCGAATGATGTACAGTTTGAGCGATTTGTTGCAGAAAATCGCTGCTGGAGGCGGAATTCAAGTGCCGGATTAAAGAGTAGGAAATGAACTGAAAAAAATCCGTTTCACCAGAAAGTGTGCTGGTTTGCAAGGGTGCTGGATAAACAAGTGCCGGATTAGAGAGGGAGGACTGTATAACGATTTCCTGAAATTTACTGGTTTACATGTACCAAAGGTAACGAGTCTCACTCATTCTCAACGCTCAATATCAGCAGTATATGTATCGATTTCTGTATAACGATTTCTATTTTAACGACAGATTTCTCCTCGTTAACTCGTTAGAATTAGCACTTCGTTATATATATAATGGCTTTTACAGTACCCGTTGGGCTCATAATTCACATCAAGCCTTGCCAAGATCCACACATGGACGTAGCACTAGGCTGTCAGGTGGTCCAGCCAAGTGAGATACTTGACCGGAAATATACGGTAATGTTTGTGTGGCCTTTTGTGTGCGTGCGTGTGTGTCTGTGTGTTTGTGTGTAGCTATTGCGGTATTCACGACCCGGCAGCCGTCGTCTACTGCCTGCAGAGCAAGAAGTGGTTCTGCAACGGCCGCGGCAACACGTCCGGCAGCCACATCATCAACCACCTGGTGCGCAGTAAGCACAAGGAGGTCTCGCTGCACAAGGACGGGCCGCTGAGCGAGATCACCCTCGAGTGCTACAACTGCGCGTGCCGCAACGTCTTCCGCCTGGGCTTTATTCCGGCCAAGGCCGATTCTGTCGTCGTGCTTCTCTGCAGGTACGTTCGCGGTATTGCACGAGTCATTGCACTGCAGTGTGAATGGACATGACAGGCGGGTACACTGTGTTGTAGTTCTCCTGTGGAGATGGCTCCCGACACCGCTGTACATGTAGCCCCATCACTGTGCGGCGATTGTTTTCCCCTGCCCCCCCCCCCCCCACTTTATTGAATAAATGCGTTGAAGCGTTCATTCAGTGCATTCCCGTACGGGTCCGCCATGAGGTATACGCCACGGGATAAACACACATGGCTGTGTATAAGAGGAATTGAGGAGCGAAAATTTAATTGCACACAGCAACATTGTTGTCAAACTCATCACTCCGTCAATGACCCTTTTAAAATACTCATTCCCATCAGTGTGCTCGCGCGCAGAAGCAGCATGTCAAGGTGCTGAAACCCTTCACCTGAAGTGGTGAGTGATGTGGCTGCCAAGCTACTGGACCTCTCTCTTTTGTACTCAAACCGGTACCATTTCTCTCATACTTCCTTGCATAAAAGCAAGTGATAAGTTATCACAAGCAGTCAGCGCTAAATCTCACCATGGGCCTTTCTACTGCAATTACAGGTGGAATCCTGATAATTCGAACCTCCAAATGCCAGGAAAAAACTTCTAATTATCCGGACATTCTAATTATCCAAACATGACCACACAACACAATATGTATGTCAAAATGCTCCCATGGTCACGCAGAGTTTCGCTATGGACCTTAGACACAGATTTCACGGACACTGAACTGACCAGCACAGCCTGCTCATGCAAACCGAACTGATCAGTACAGTGTACAGCGAACTTCGAATTACACTTTGCTAACTTCGAATTATCTGCACAAATCCCACACATTTTCTATGTAAGTGGAATCCGTGGAACTTCGAATTAATCGGACATGTCCGGTTCCAGGTTCGAATTATCAGAATTTTTTATGTGGGAATCGTATTGACAGAAATCGGTCCTGGAAAAACTTCTGCTTAAAAAATAGGAGAATTGAAAAATTTATAACATCCCTATGCTTTTTTTGCCTAGGTCATCAAGGTGGTAGACGGTGTCGCATTACCCTGTCCCGTACCTGTCCCCGTACCGTACCATCAAAGACGGCTGGCCACAATATTCAAATAGGGCTTTCAAATGCAAGATCATAACGTGAAGCAACTTGGAAGAATTAGTATGTATGCGAAGTGTATCGGGGGATGCATGCAGGGCGATAGTGCGGGTTCGAATCCCAGGTTATGTCTTAAAAAAATAGGAGAAATGAAAAATTTACTGTGCTTTTTTGCCTAGGTCATCAAGGCAAAAAAAAAGCATAGCGTAGGGCCCTGAGCTTCCAAGCTCTCTCGTTACGGCATGTATACCGTAAAGGCCGCGGCTTATGCAACTTTTTTGGGAGATTTTGCAGGCTTCTATATGAGACAGGCTTCTATACAAGAGAGGTCAACACTAAAAGCAGGCTTATGTGCAGACAGTGTATCTTGCAAATCAGGCTTCTATTCAAGACAGGCTTCTATTCAAGACGGGCTTCTATATGAGACAGGCTTTAATACAAGACACTACGGTAGACTGAGTAAAAGCCCATAGGCATAGGCTAGTTGAAGGGTAGCAGCAGCACTGTCACATCGCTGGTACCCCACCATTAGTGCTCTTGCAGGTAAGGTGTGGTGTCTTGACCGGTTGTTTGAGGTGTTTGGTGCTGAGTGACTCTCACTGCTTGACCACACCGCGTTGTGTACATGTGCACAATGATCTCATTTTTTACAAGTTACACAACTCACCTGCAGGCACATGGGGCTAACATGAGGTGAGACGGTGCTGGGGGCCCCTGCCATGCTCAGCCAAACATATTCTCTATGCTGTTATAAGTTAACCTATAACGTTACTTATGTACCTGTGTTTGTACTTGTGTGTTTGATATGCCTCCAGACAACCGTGTGCAGCCCAGTCAAACCTGAAGGAAATGAACTGGTATGGAAGCAGAGTTTTCTTGTTCGCTGTTGCTGCTGCAGCTGTCGCTTTTATTCTTCTATCTTGTTTCGATGGGACACGCTCATCATTCACTCATAACCCATGGCGAATGTATCTTATGCCCGAGATGCCAGCATTTTTCCCCATTGTCCCTTGTTGAGGTTGTGTGGACACACATTATATATTATATAATGTGTGTCCACTTTCTCACCTCAACGGTACGGGAATGTTAATGATCCGGGCTGTTTTACTGCTGGCGAATCGTTTACAAATCAAGTTGTTGTTGGTGCTGCTGGTGCTACTGCTGCTGTTGTTGGTGTTAGCCAGAAATGTATCTCCTTGGCCATATTGTCCTGTCCTGCACCACGTCGTCCCAGTGACTGATTCTCTGCTTGGGCAGACATGAATCAAACTTCACTTGGTTACTGGTGCTACAGTAAACCATTTCGGATTGTCCCTTGGGGAGGTGTCGGCTGCTGCCATGCTGACATCTCTAATGAGACCAACCACATTCTGTTCTTTGTCTGGCTCTTTAGTTTCTTTGTTTCTATCGTCATCACGAAGTGAAGTTGTGTACCTCAATAGTTTGGGGATTTTAAGGATCAGGGTTTTTTCTCTGCTGTTGAATCGTGTACGAATCCGGTGTGTGCATGTGTGTGTGTGTGTGTGTACGTGCGTGCATGGGTGCATGCTGTGTGTGTGTGTGTGTGTGTGTGTGTGTGTGTGTGTGTGTGTGTGTGTGTGTGTGTGTGTGTGTGTGTGTGTGAATGTGTGCAGGGACCAGACACAGTGGCAGCCTTTGATCTCGGACAGGTGCTTCCTCTCGTGGCTTGTCAAGGTCCCGTCAGAGCAAGAACAGCTTCGCGCTCGCCAGGTATGTATCGTGTAGATTTGTGTGGAATTTGTTTGGGGGGGGGGGGGGCGGCTTGCATACCCTGCAGAGTACTCTAATTTCAGAAAATGTTTGATAAATATGGTGGTAAAGACACACCTGGCAATATGGCGGTAAACACACGCCTGCCCACACACGCTCTCTAAGCATAAGTACAGCTGCAATGGTGTCTTCAACTTCATTCTTCAGAAAATGTTGGTGCTCAAAATTTTAGGCATGAGTTCCAATGGCCAGGTTAGGCGAACAGAAATTTTAGGTACAGAGAAGCAGTGCACTATTGGGTGATGTGTGCTAGTGTTTGTTCGGTGGATTGAAATTTTAGGTATGAAACAGATGCAGCGGAAGCACCGACAGTTTGTGAAATTACAGTACGTGCAACAACTGTGGCTGAGTACAGTACGTGCAACAACTGTGGCTGAGTATACCTGTCAAGCATGTATCCGCTCACCATTCTGTAGTAATTGCCGGAGAATCAGTGCACCTGGTAATGAAGCGCAATGGGCGAATGGGTCTCTTCAACGACTTGATGGACGTTGATCAGTGTCTTTGTGATTTCATGTGAGACCAAAAGAGTGGTGAAATACCAGGAGATGACACGCCACGTGATCTCTGATGTGAGCTATGCCTTCTTCGGACGTGCGCTTATGATTTCTGGCATTGCCATGGTCATGTAGTCGTTGTGCCTCTGTTGTTTGTGCTGTCCCTGTGTGTGTGTGTGTGCGAGTAGATCTCTGCACAGCAGATCAACAAGCTGGAGGAGCTGTGGAAGGTCGGTATAGTTGTTATATTTGATAGGGTTATCGCCTTTGAGTTCTTTTCTTAAATTTTGGGTTTGGTTGCATTTCTGTTCCATGATTAATGTTTACACGTTGGCAGTTCAAGAGACTTGCTACGTTTGTATGACGATGGCAGCATTGGATTGGATTGGATTTTTATTTATAGTGGTGACTATAACAGACAATTGCCTAATAACAATAGACCCACTCGAGGGAAAGATGCAAAAAGATATGAATAATTAATATAATAGACTACCATGTTGTCGTTATGCATGTTAAACTATCAAGCAAGGTTTGCGTGTAAGAGACTTACTACTACTATACAGCATGGACTTTGCTTGCCATATTCTGTTGTTGGCTGGCTGCTGCTTTGCCCTGTACCCTACTCTCACTGACCTCTGCCTGTATTCTCCTATGGAAATGCTCTGTTTGCTGCCCCAGGACAATCCTGACGCAACTGTAGAAGACTTGGAGAAGCCGGGTATTGACGAGGAGCCACAGCAAGTTATGCTAAAGTAAGCTATGGCGGATATTGCTCATTTCTACATGCACGTTTTCATTTGTTTGAGGCTACATCAGGCGCGTAGCTCGTGTGTAGTCTGCGTAGTCTGGTCATCACGCCTGCAAAATGGCTGTCATAGGTATTACATAGTGAAAGTAGGTGAACATGGCGAATATGAGGTACAGGGTCACCACACCGCGGATGTACTCTGGTACAGGGTCACCACACCACAGATGTACTCTGTCTGGTACATAGTCACCACACCACAGATATACTCTGGTACATGGTCACCACACCACAGATGTACTCTGGTACAGGGTCATCACACCACAGATGCACTCTGGTACATAGTCACCACACCACAGATGTACTCTGGTACATGGTCACCACACCACAGATATACTCTGGTACATAGTCACCACACCACAGATGTACTCTGGTACATGGTCACCACACCACAGATGTACTCTGGTACATGGTCACCACACCACAGATGTACTCTGGTACATAGTCACCACACCACAGATGTACTCTGGTACAGGGTCACCACACCACAGATATACTCTGGTACATAGTCACCACACCACAGATGTACTCTGGTACATGGTCACCACACCACAGATGCACTCTGGTACATAGTCACCACACCACAGATGTACTCTGGTACAGGGTCATCACACCACAGATGCACTCTGGTACATAGTCACCACACCACAGATGTACTCTGGTACATGGTCACCACACCACAGATATACTCTGGTACATAGTCACCACACCACAGATGTACTCTGGTACATGGTCACCACACCACAGATGTACTCTGGTACATGGTCACCACACCACAGATGTACTCTGGTACATGGTCACCACACCACAGATGTACTTTGGTACATAGTCACCACACCACAGATGTACTCTGGTACAGGGTCACCACACCACAGATATACTCTGGTACATAGTCACCACACCACAGATGTACTCTGGTACATGGTCACCACACCACAGATGCACTCTGGTACATAGTCACCACACCACAGATGTACTCTGGTACAGGGTCACCACACCACAGATATGCTCTGGTACATGGTCACCACACCACAGATGTACTCTGGTACATGGTCACCACACCACGGATGTACTCTGGTACAGGGTCACCACACCACAGATGTGCGAGCTACGCCATTGTACATGCACCTTGTTCTACTGTTGTAGTGGCCACCAGGATTATGAGTGTGTTGTGAGGCAATAGAGTGGTTTCACATCGATCAGATGAACATGCGGGACAGCCTTTGTTGTTTCCAGCTCCAGTCTACCCTTGCATCTATGGGAGGCACATGATGTCGGCCATTCTGCCACCACTGTCCACATGCCATGATAACTTTCCACGCAAATTTAGTCACATTTGTGTCTGTCTGTCTGTGCCTGCATTGTAGATACGAAGATGCGTACCAATACCAGAATGTGTTTGGTCCACTTGTCAAGCTGGAGGCAGACTACGATCGACGCTTGAAAGAATCTCAGGTCGGTTACCCCTCTCCCCTCAGAGACTTGTTCCGTTTGGTGTGCCATGGTCATCTATTTGGTGGTGAGAATTGTTGATGAGCGCATTGCCGACATTGACAAGTCTTATGATGAATACTTTTCTCCCCCCCCCTTGCACTTTGGGGCTCCTGATGAGTTTCTTTCACCGGTGTGTTGGCTGGTCGATCTCATTGCCATTGTGTGTTGTGTGTAACTCATTCTTATTCTTTTGCTCCTCGGCCCCGTGTGTGTCTGTGGCAATGTGTGTGCGTGCACTACAGACCCAGGCGGACATTTCCGTGCGCTGGGACATCGGGCTGAACAAGAAGCGTATCTCCTACTTCGTCCTCCCACAGTCAGACTCCTGTGAGTTATGATGTCCGCTCTACTGCTGCTGCTGCTGCTGTTGTTAATGCTGCTGCTGGTGGGGCTATTGTCAGTGGTGGTGATGGTGAATGTGTTGCTATTAATGGTGGTGGTGGTGCTGCTGCTGCTGCTGCTGGTGATGGTGATGGTGCTGGTGTTACTGCTGGTGCCGGTTGTGCCGTTGCTGATGCTGCTGCTGCTTTTCATGTATCAAGACAAAACACATAGCTCTAGTTCAACTATCCCGGTTTAACAGCATGTATCTTCCACGCACACCGACACCTATTGCTACTCCGCACTCCTGTCTTTACTCTAGGCCCACAGCACCTCCCTTGCACTAGTCCACCACCGCTAAGAAATTATTCCCACCACGCTACCACCGACAGCTCTCCATTCGTTATCCACTGACGAAATTGTTCGGAGCTGTGCTTTACGAGATGTCTGGTTCATGGCTACTTACTTGTATGTGTGTATCGCACTGCACTGGGCTTGACATTGGAGTAGTTCACTGCTTAGAAGCTGCATCTGCGCCTTGATCCAAGAGGCTGGTAGTGTTCCTTCGGATGCAGAAAAGTCGTTTAACTGAATCCCGCGTGAACCGTGATTTTTGTAGTACTTACCTTGTGTGTGTGTGTGCGTGCGTGTGTGTGTGCGTGCACGTGTGTGTGTGTGCGTGCACGTGTGTGCGTGTGTGTGTGTGCGTGTGTGTGCGTTTTAAAATACTTTGTGCAGCGGAAATGAGGCTGATGGCTGGTGATGAGCTGCGACTGCGCTACACAGGGGAGCTGCACAAGGAATGGTCCGGTGTCGGCCACGTCTCCAAAGTGCCGCACAGTATCCTCCTCGCCTTTGAATATCACCTCTCTGCTTGTGTGTGTGTCTGTGGATTGGTGGGCGTGAGGTGTGCATACGTACGTAACGGAGGGTCTCTTTGCGTGGCTGCGTCTCTGCAACATTTTCCCCATGCCGTAACGGTGATTTTGTTCTGGCGGTTCTTGTTCTGGCGGAGATCAGCTGCTTACTAGTATCACCGCCAACCTTGTCTCATGTCACTGATGGGTCCATCATCGCTGGCATATTGTTACTGTAGATCAATTATATTGCGTATGCGAGTGATGTTCGTAAACTGAGAAAAAGAACATTTCGCAGTCGTCTAACTTTCGTAAGTGCCATCGATCGGGGCTACTACATACTTGTATATGTACATGTACATGTGTACAGTACTATGCATCAGTGTGACAAATTTTTTAATAGCGTTTTTATTTCGTAAGTGGCGGGGGCCTTATGAAATTTACGAAATAAAACGACAACGAACTATAATTGATTTTCCCTGCAGTACATTGTGTACCTTGACCATATGCACGCTCTGCACTTGATCAGCTTACGGCGAGGAGGTGGGTTTGGAGCTGCGCAGCAGCACTGGAGTGCCGATTGATTGCAAGCTTAGCTTCTGCGTGGACTTTGTTTGGAAGTCAACCTCGTTTGATCGGTAAGCTGTCGTCATCATCAGAATGCATCCTGTTCAGCATACAGCTGTTTTTAGTGCTTGTGTTTCACCATAATAATGACAATATACATGTAACAAGCAGGCATGCAGCCGCAACCAGCTTTTAACTGGACGAAACTATCATCCTACTTGTAGTTACAGTGAGACTTTGTTCAGAAGAGCACTGATAAGACAAACTTTCTCTTTAGAAGAACTAACATTCATAACTCAATTGGCGTTTTGTCTGCACTGTACCCAAAACGTTATGGCCGTTTTCAGCTTTTGCTGTAAGTAACGTGCACTGAGACCCATCACTTGAGTGACTGTACTGCCTGTGGGTGGGTGGGTGTGTGTCTCTCTCTCTCTCTCTCTCTCTCTCTCTCTCTCTCTCTCTCTCTCTCTCTCTCTCTCTCTCTCTCTCTCTCTCTCTCTCTCTCTCTGTCTCTCTCCGCCTGTGCCCGCAGAATGCAGAACGGTATGAAGACGTTTGCAGTTGACGAGACGTCCGTGAGCGGCTACATCTACCACAAGCTGCTGGGGCACGATGTCGAGGAGCAGGTCGTGAAATGCGTCATGCCAAAGAGGTACGCTGGCCACATGGTACACAGATCTCAATGTGAATAACATCAGTCAGTGACTGGCTACAAACGAAGTCTGTGAAACACACAGGTAGTACTGTGTTCCCCGAATATAAGTCGCACCTTTTTTTCTCACTTAACTTCAAGGGCAAAGAAGGGGTGCGGCTTACAATCGGGTATGACTTCCTACTTAAATATGTGATTGTGAAGGTATTGAATCAAGTACGGGTCAGGTCTATAACATGGGAGTGCGATTTATAATCAGGGAAATACGGTATCACCTTGATAGCCATGATCGTAATTTTGAAAGTTGTTAAAACCAATCGTTGAATGTGTGAACATACCAAAGGCATTTCTTTATGAAACGATGGGCTGTTCGACTACCCAATGGATTGGATTGATCTCTCCTTCTGTTTTGTCCATTGTCGTTGTTTTACCTCTCATAGTTTTCACGCCAACTTATTGGTTTGTGTTTCCCTTGTGCACCACGTCATCCCAGTGACTGATTCTCTGCTTCGGCAGACATGAATCAAACTTCACTTGGTTACTGGTGCTACAGTAAACCATTTCGGATTGTCCCTTGGGGAGGTGTCGACTTCTATCATGCTGACATCTCTAATGAGACCAACCACAATTATTTCCATGCTTGACTCCAACTTGGACCCTACTGTCTGGTGTCCGTTGATGTCCCTTGTTGTTGTTGTTGGACATGCTTTTGGTTTTATTGCACTCTCTATGTGTGTTTATTTGTGTGTGTGTGTGCGTGTGTGTGTGTCTGTGTCTGTGTGTGTGTTTATTTGTGTGTCTGTGTGCGTGCGTGTGCCCATGTGTGTCTATTTGTGTGCCTGTAGGTTCTCTGTTCCCGGTCTGCCGGAGCTGAACCATTCTCAGGTCTACGCTGTCAAGACAGTGCTCCAGCGTCCTCTCAGTCTCATCCAGGTATGCACTGTGCTGGTGGTGGGTTTATGTCCGGGACTGTGTCCATGTCTGCAGTATAGCTTGCAATGTTAGGTGTACAAGTAGGCTTAGCACATAGCATGGTGTACAAGTAGGCTTAGATCATAGCATGGTGTACAAGTAGGCTAAGAACATAGCATGGTGTACAAGTAGGCTAAGAACATTCTAGCATGGTGTACAGGTAGGCTAAGAACATTCTAGCATGGTGTACAAGTACCGTCCAGAGTACTCTTGGTACCGTAAAGTACCGTTGATCCGCCCCTCGCGCTGTATCACTTCCCAGCTGGTTTTTCGCCAGTTGGCGGTAATTAGATCAAGGCCGCCAATACGATTTTCGAAGGTGGAAGATCAGACTTGGCATGCTGGATTGTGCAGTGAGGAGGAGAGTGCTTACATACGCCTGGTTGTCTATCTGCTGTCTGTGCATTGCAGGGACCGCCAGGAACTGGCAAGACGGTGACATCCGCATCTCTCGTCTTCCACCTTGTCAAGCAGAATATGGGGTGAGCTTTTTTTCTTCTTCTCCGTTTTCCTTCGCTTGGCGTGGTTATGATACCGGCTATGGGAGATTGTGTAAATATAGAGCGCTGTCACCATGTTGCCGTATGGAATCACTGTTGTCCACTGGTTCCCTGCACGTCTAACTGCATTGTATGTGTGTGCTGTGCTGATGTCCACTGGTTCACTGCACGTCTAGCTGTATTTTGCTTGCACTGCATACTGTATACTGTAAAACATGTAATTTTAGGTGCATTAAATTAAATTTCAGGTATAATGTAGAATTAGGTGACCAGCGTTCTCCGCATATACAGTGCATATTCTAGTGCCTTTTAGGTGTAAGGCCACACGTTTTTATTTCTATGTTTCTCGTCACCTGAAAATCTAAACACGTATGCGAGAGGTGGAAAAAATAAAAAATGACCGAAAAATAAAAAAAGTTTATTAGACCTTTGTTCACACTAAAATCCACCAATACACCATGCAAAATAGCTTCCATAGTTAGCAACTATATGTAGTATGTGGTAGGAGCTAGCTTCTGTCACAATCTGTGCATGTGCAGCTGGATTGCGCACAAAAAATGGCGACCTCGCATCATGTGTCGCGCAGGCCAGGCCACATTATGTACATGTGCATGAGTGTGCTGGTCCCCACATGCACAGTCAATGCAGCACAGTTTTTTTTCTTTTTTTCTTCAAGACTCCTGAACTGTATGCGCGCGGGTGACGAGAAACATAGAAATAAAAACGTGTGGCCTAATTTAAATTTAGGTGCCTGGTTTCTATACCGAAATCACCGAAATTAAAGTTGCACTGAACATTACATGTTTTACAGTACATGGCCAGAAGTGAATGCAAGCAGTGGAAACTAATCCATGCCGGCGGTGAACTGCTTGGATTTCACGTACCGCATTAGCTCTTCTTATTCAGTGAAGATCTCGCGCGTCAACATATTGCTGGTGTGTCGTTATGTTACTGATGTGGATGTGCTTGCAGTTGTACATTATGTTATGCTGTCATGGTTTTAGTCCAACGTACTCCGAGGTTTTGTCGTTGATGGTAATAGTGGTACTGCAACAGTCGTCACTGCACTTCAGTACCGTCACCATTGCTTACCATTTACCTCTGGTCTCTTTCTGCTGCTGCTGCTGCTGCTGCTGCTGCTGCTGCTGTTGCTGCTGCTGTTGTTGTTGTGGTTGTCGTCGTTGCCGTCGTTGTTGTGTGTTGTAGGCAAGTGCTGGTGTGTGCACCGAGTAACATTGCCGTGGACCAGCTGACGGAGAAGATCCACCGCACCGGCCTCAAGGTGGTGCGCCTGTGTGCGAAGAGTCGTGAAGCCATCGACTCCAGTGTCCACTTCTTGGCGCTGCACAACCAGGTAAGCACTGACCAGTGTGAAACGTTGGGTTATTTTCATAGGAACTTGAATATTTGTACGTGTTGTTGTCCAACTGTACATTCACCCAAGACTCGTGGTTTAACATTACTACACACAACGTGCTTGCACCACGTCATCCCAGTGACTGATTCTCTGCTTGGGCAGACATGAATCAAACTTCACTTGGTTACTGGTGCTACAGTAAACCATTTTGGATTGTCCCTTGTGGAGGTGCCGGCTTCTATCATGCTGACATTTCTAATGAGACCAACCACATTTCAGTTCCATAGTGTGATTGATTGAACTTTCTCATACGCTGATTTGTCCTGTTCACTACTTTTTGGTACTCTAACTTTTTGTGTCTGGAACCTTTTTTCTGCGTGTGTGTGAGGTATGTGTCTGTGTGTCTGTGTGTGTGCGTGCGTGTCTGTGTGTGTCTGTTTGTGTTGGTGTGTGTGTCTGTGTGTGTGTCTGTGTGTGTGTGTCTGTGTCTGTGTGTGTGTCTGTGTGTGTGCACTTGTGTGCGGTGTCTGCGCCATGTTTAGATCCGTAACCTGGATGTCTACCCGGAGCTGACCAAACTTCAGCAGCTGAAGGACGAGGCGGGAGAGCTGTCGTCTGCCGATGAGAAGCGCTACCGCACGTTGAAGCGGAGCGCCGAAAGAGAGCTCCTGCAACATGCCGATGTCATCTGCTGTACTTGTGTGGGCGCCGGCGACCCTCGCCTGCAGAAGTTCCGATTCCGCACGGTGCTTGTCGACGAAGCAACTCAGGCCACAGAGCCGGAATGCATGGTGCCCATCGTGCTCGGAGCTAAGCAGGTGAGAGTGGTATGGCGTATTCTACCCGTCCCTTCAGGACCGGCGGAAGGAGTTTTTGATTGATCCGGTCATACTCTAGCCTTAATACTTTGTTTGTGATAAGTCAGGTACACATTACCTACTCAGCAGTAAACACGCAATTCCACTGTAGTTCGAAACCATACTATAAACCTAGCAAAATATAGACTGAAACTAGCCTTAAGCCTGGCTGAAATCTCAACTTTGATTCCTGAGAACAAGAAGCATGAACACA